TACATGCTTATTTGTCAGCTGAATGCATCATGGTTTTTCTGTCATTAATTTAAACAGATCCATATAATCTAACCAGAAGGTCTCCATTAGGGCTGGGTGATAATTCAGTATTATAATTTATCAACTGCCAGCAGAATCATATTGTGATGATCTGATCTTATTATGTCAAAATCTAAATCAAATCAAGTTTTATTGTCACATACACAATCATACACAGTACAACATACAGTGAACGGCGGAACAATACAATCAGTAATGATTTTCAATGATGAGTGTGCATTTCAGAAATATGAAAAGATATGATCTGTGCAATACAATACATGCAATATAAGGTGACATCAGTAGGACAGTGATGTGTGGCAGAATGGATTATAAGTTCTGTGTGTGAAGTCACTGTTTCAGGACCTGACTGGCCTGAGGGAAGAAACTCCTCTTCATCCTCTCTGTCTTAGCCTTCAGGCAAACTCCTCCTTGACTGCAGCAGACAGTAGAGTCTGATGTTGGGTTGATTGAGGTCTTTTATGATCCTCTCAGCCCTCGCCCTGCACCTCCTGGTGTAAATGTAACACTCTTGGTGCTGCCTGTCAGGGCGCTCTCTATGGTGCCGGTATAGAAAGTCTTTTGCAACTTGAGACACTGGCTCTAGATAAAGCTGAAGGGTAAACTGCATTTGAAACTTTACTGCTAGATGACACTAAATCCTACACACTATTCCTTTAATGAAGCAAATTTGGCTCTTCAACTAGGCTCAATGAGGTTAAATCCATCCAATGAGAGTGCCAGAGCAGACCTGCTTTTGAAAAAATATTTTTATTTGTCAAACTTTAAGCCGCCCACTGAAAACTTGTACTTATGAAGTCACCCTTGCTACTTTGCATAGCACTCAGATGTGTTTGCTGGTTCACCCAGAGTTCTGCAACAAGGTCATGCTCAGTGACATCAGCTGGCGGAGGTTAGGTCACCCACAAATCTCTCCTGGAGCTGTCGCTTCTTTGGGGTCGGGCTCTCTCTGAAGATTCAGTTTTCAAAAGAACTGATGCGCTTACAGTTTCAGTGAGAAATGAATCTGAGCTGCAGCTCTTCATACATATTTCTGGAGCTTAAACACAAAACAAAAACAACAGAAAAACATCTAATCTGGCACACTTTGTTGTGGGCGATGTTCTTAGATCCTCTCTCATTTCTTCTGCTAATTGCAACATGGTAATTAGGTGTAGAATCTAATTTACTATGGGGCTTCGTTTAAGCAAATATGCATTATTTAAGGGAGAATCCGAGGAGGAGGAGGAGGAGGAGGAGGAGGAGGAGTAATATTAGGCTGGCAGTATAACAATAGTCCTGATGGTTTTGATGATAACGCTGACAGTGAGGACTGAAATGGGAATGACAGTGTATGACAGGCAGATAGCATCAGTGATGATGATGATGATGATGATGATGGGGATGGTGATGATGGTGATTATGGCGCAGTGGTGGTGACTGCGGTTGTGGTGCTAGCAAGCCAGGAACATAAAGGAGGGTCGCTGACCTCTGATTTCAGTCCTATTTCCCCTACAAGCCAAGTCCTAATAGACTCCATTAACAGAAAGAGAGGGGGAGAGAAAGCCCTGACGCTGGAGCTTTCAGAGTAAAGTCTGCATATGTGATGACTTGCAGTCTGGCTGGCTGAATGAACCAGGCTCAGAGCTTGATAACCTCCTCTTTCCTTATTATTTCCCCTCATTTAACTCACTGTGTGCCTCCATCATAGTCCATTTTCTTGTGTGTCTGTGTGTATGAGACTCAGGCGGGGCAATCTCTCTCTCCTGCAGCACGTCTGTTATTTCACAGCAATTTTGGATAATGATTTATTTTACTATCCACAATTGGAAGGCCTTCCGCTTGAAAGGGAATGATAAAATAGTAATCCCTTTGCAATTATGTAGTGAGAGATAGTCACATTCATTCATTTCAGATTCACTGATACAACTGACGTGGATGCAGGACAGCTTGAAATGACTGTGAATAACATGCTTCTGAACAGTGCGACCAGCTCAGTATGTCACATGAAAATAGACATGCCTTTAAAATACACTGTAAATACTTGAATTATTTCTCAATTCGTGTAAAGAAGAATGGTAATGCCGGTGTTGAGATGACAGCCAAACAAGTATGGGATCTCTTACAGCCTCTATCATTTCACTTGATATTAGATGGTGCATTTTCCTGACAAATTTGCATTTAATCAAATTACCACAAGCCTTTGAAGCCCTTTGGAGCCTGGGACCCAGACTGGGGCAGTTTGCCTGGTAGTTAATTCAGCCTTGCTGTCAGTAGTGGAAGAAGTGCCCAGAGCTTTTACTTAAGTAGAAATACCACAATTTGGAAATACGCTTGTAAGTAAAGGTCTGTAGCATTCATAAAAGTACAGTAAGTATTGGCAGTAAAATAAAAGTATCAAAAACAAAGTACTTCATCTGCAGAACAATGTCCCCTGTGGCTGATATATTATTATATATGATATTATTAGCTGAATCATCAGTGTGTAAGCAGCATTTTCTTGTTGTAACTGGTCAATGTGGAGCTGGTTTGAACTACTTTATATGTATTTAGTTTATTCCAGTGGTTCCCTGCTGAGGGGTTGGGCTCTTCCAAAGTAAGTGTGAGACTGAACTCTGGATTACATGCATGCATCATTTCCTGGGCAATCTGAATCCAGCACAGAAATGCTGGACCCCGCCACTGAATGTAGGGATTTAAACTTCAAGGTCCAGTGTGTAACATTTAAGAGGATCTACTGGCAGAAATGGAATATAATTTGCATGATAATGTTTTCATTAGAGTACAATCACCTGGAAATAAGAATCACTGTTTTCATTACCTTAGAATGAGCCTTTTATATCTACAGATGCTGTTTCTACAGTGGCCCAGAACATACAAACCAAACACTGGTTCTAGATAGGGCTGTCTGCATTTTTTGTGTGTTTTGCAGCCACTGTAGTTTCTCGTCTGTGCTTGGAATAGGAGGGTGAAGTGAGGGAGATGCAGTCTGCTAGATGCCCTACACATTGGTCCTTTACGTAAAAATGCACAAGTATAGATACATGTACTTTACTTGTTCTGCAAAAAAATGGCCCCTGACTAGTATATACTATTATATGTATGTTATTAGATTAATACTGATCAGTGCATAGAAAGCATTTTACTGTTGTAGCTGGTCAAGGTGTTGGTAGTTGTAACTGCTCACACAGTTTATTCCAGTGGTTCCAAACCTAGGTGTTGGGCACCATCCTATGGGTCACAGGATAAATCTTAAGTCTTGTGAGATGATTCTGCACAAATCTGTATTTTTTTCATCTCAGATTGTTCTGAAATAACAGGCAATTTTACTTCTTTGGGTCTCAAACAGTCAGTTAAATTAAAGTTTATAGGGAAATTCTCAATTCCAGAGTATTTATAAGGTTATCAAATGCTTTTTGTCTTTATTGTAAAATCTAGATTTGAAAAAATAGAAACTGTTAAATAAATGTGTAAAAAGTAAAATATTTTCCTCTTAAATGTAGTGGAGTCGAAGCATAAAGTAGCATAAAATTAAAATACTCAAGGAAAGTACAAGCACCCCTCAATTGAGCCTAACTGCAGGACTCTAGTTACTTCCCAGCACTGGTTGACCATTACATGCACTTAAACATTTCATTGTCATGCCCTCACAGATCACATGCACTCCCCTGAGACATTAAGATAAGATGTGTGACATCTAAAAGTGATTCATTGTTTCCCATAATCCTTTGGATTTTAGACCGTGTTACAATATCAATGTGGGAAAGCATATGGAGGATGTGCAGTCTGGATACATCAAAGAAAATATGCGATCTTAGCGCCACGTTTACGAGAAACTTTACCCATGATGGTCCACTTCACAAGAGGATGTTCCACTTAT